CGCTCTCCCTATCTTCTCCCTCTCCTAACCTTGATAGTCTTTTTGGGCCTGGTTCACCATCATAATGGGCACCAACTCGGCTGCCTCCACTACCGTTTCGCACAGGGTTACCTCGCCATCTTCTAGGCCCTTTCCTTCTACAGGGACCAACTGCAGAGGTCCTCTCCGTACCTTTTTTCTGACATTAGCCTACCCTTTCCCGACACTGCGGTCCTAGGAGGTAACTTTACATCTTCCTCCACCACTATGGTTATCTCTTCCTCTGGTGGGCATCCCAATGGCGTTCTCTCGCCGTTCACCACCAACACAGTAGGATTAAACTCAATCTGGGCCCTCTGGCTCGGAGCCAATCTTCTCCCAAGATTGCCTCCGTACACAGGTCGGGGGTTACGTAAAAAATTTTGGGTGCTTTTCACCCTCCCAATCCTCACCGGGAGCCTCACCATCCCTTTTATCTCCAGGGAGCCCCATCTGCTTAGCGTGATCTCTATGTCCGCTTCCGTAACCTTCTCTTCCGTTTCACCCGCCTGTATGTCTCCTCTCATCAATGACACAGATGCTCCTGTGTCCACCAAAGCCCTCATCTCTCTACCACCTATCTCTGCTCTACAGGATAGTTCTTTTCTCTTCGTTAGCTTAAGAGAACACTTGAGCTTTCTTCTTCCTGGGTCTCCACCCTTGGGTTAACCCAGCCATAGGTGCCGGTAGTAATAGATCACCTTCATTTTTCTCATGAGGTGGAGTTCTGCGCCCCCCTGCACCTGGGCGACCCCTGGCCGGACCTCTCCCGGTCTCCCTCGGCCGTTTCTAAAATACAGTTTCTTTTCAGGTGTCCTGGCCTCCTGCAATACCAGCACCTTCTTGTTGGACAGCTTGCTGCAAAGTGGCCCGCCCGACCACATGTCCAACATTTTGCTCTTTCCCTTTTTAACTGGGTTGGCCTTGTGTTCATCCTCGGGGAACCCGTCCTCTATTCAAGCGGTTCGCCCACCCACTGGTCCAAGCTTTTATTTCTCTTCTTTTTAACTGGGCCACCCTCCCTCTTAATTCTGGGGTGGCCCGCTGGCTTTTCTTGGGCTCGGCCTTCCTTGTTAATATCGGTGGGGCACCCTTCCTCAGCCCGCACCACTTGGCCAGGTGTCCTTTCTTACCACACCTGGTGCATCTGTCCTGATTGAAGTCTGGGGCAACCCCCACGCCGTCGGACATTCCGCCGCCCTGTGGTCCTCGTGCCCACAGGTCCAGCAGACCAGCCCGTGTCGACCCGGCGTGGGCTTATAAAAGCCATGCCTGGTCGACCATGCTCTTCTATTGGGGTCCTCCTCCCATAATTCTGCCCGATCCACCTCTTCCTTAACCCTCTGATTCCACACGGGGGGTTCTTCGCCCTACCCCCCTTCTTCCAGCCTCCTGACTTGGTATCTGCTTCTTCCCACACCTCTTCACTTTATCCCACACCCCTGGCTCTCCCTGGCCAGCTCTATCGCTGCCGACAGTCTGAGCGGTCCTTCTTTCAATCGTCGATTTAACACGCTTTCGTCGCTCAGCGCCTCTACATACAGGTCCGCCAGTTGAGCCTGCATAACCGCATTATCCCTGACCACTTCAGGGAATGCCAACGACGACAGCTTCCCTGCTCAGGTCCCCAATTCTCCCGGGGTTTCATCCCAGTTGTGTCAGATTAAAAAAGGGCCCTCATGGCCTCTATGGCCGTACCTTCGTGGCGAATTCTTTGGTCAGTAGTCTTTTATTTCTTCCCAAGCCAAGCGGGGTTGGTTCTCCAAAGCCCCTCATGAACTCAGACGCTTTTCCCTTTGTGGCATCGTATGCCAAATACAGGGTTTCTTGGTCCGAGAGCTCGTAGATGGTTCGGCTCTTCTCTGGGATTGCCAGCCAGTCTTTAAACTCCTTCCCGCTGCCTTCAAATACTGGGACCCTCGGTCCACCCAACAGCTTCCTTAGATCCACTGACAACCCCCGCCCTACTTCTTCTTCACCCCCCACTGCTCTATCCGAATCATAATCTGACATGTCTACAGAGAAAGACAGTCTCTGCAACAATCGAGGTTGGGAAACAAAACAAGGTGTCCTACCTTACAGACGATTCTGTTCTTTCTTTTCCTTTGGTCCCAGGTCGTTCTGAGTTCTGTCTGAATTTTCAGCAACGGCGGTCAATCGTGGTCTTCTCAGGGTTGAAATCCCTCGGTCACCACGGCACCATATGTGACGTGGTTGTCTCAGGGTTGATCCGTTGGTCACGGCACCACTTGTGACGGTTACACACCTGGCCCAGTGTCGGATCCTTTGGTTACGGCGCCAACGGTGACGTCGCTCCTCCTGGGTCCAAGCGTGCCGCTCCAACCCTTTGGTCAGATGATCACCAGCCTCGCCTTTCCCGACTCGCTTCCAATACCTGGTTACTAAAGCAACTATACCGATCTCCGGTCTGTCTACCCACGCTGTGTTTAGATCTTAGACAGACGGGACCAGCAGGGATTTGGGCGATACAAGTCGAGTCCGACGGGGTGGCAAAACACAAATAAAACAAAACTCACGACACTAAACAAAATTGCTGATAAAAAGGGTAACAACCTTTTATATCTTAATGTCCGTTACATAAAAACAAAATTGTTCTCAATTCCCGACCCGCTCTGTGGACTATGGCACCAAGCTTCTATCACACAATAGAAAAATGTCGAATTACCTACTTTCTAGAATCATGTATGTATGTCGGAGTGTGGTTCAGTTCGACACTGGGGCTAATTTCTATCGATCATTAGCAGTTGATTCTTCTCTCCGACTTGAGTTGTATTTCTTCTTCTTCGTCTGCTTGGGCTGGTAGTTTTCCTGTTTCAACTTGGTGGAAGATTTCTTGTTTCAACTTAGCCGCAACTCTCTGTCGTCTGAGGTGGTCTCTTCTCACTGCCGTCCGGGCTGAACTGATTTTTGTCGATTGGGGCCCTGCTTTTATTGACGCCGCAACAAACTGGGGTGGGTCTGTCGGCGTCAGGGTTTTCTCGATAATTCCAAAAGCTGCATTAATTCTGTCTTCTCCATTATCGCTATTGTTTTCACCCCTACTTCCTCATAGTACCTTTGGTGGGCGGCGCACATCCATCTCTCTCTTAGTCTCTCGTATGTCAGGTGACCGCTTTAACCAATGGTTCCTGATCGGGCATTTCTTTCCCTTCTCTTCCGCAGATCACGTGACCGTCTTCGACCAATCGTTCCTGATCGAGCATTTCTTTTCCCTTCTCTTCCGCAGATCACGTGACCGTCTCCGACCAATTGTTATTGATCGAACATCCTTTCTCCTCTTGTTGCGGGCGTGGTTACATCGTTCTTGTTTTAAAAAAAAACAAAATCCAATTTTGCCTTTTTTTTTTTTGCACGTACGCAAAATGACAATCTTGGCTTTCTCTCACCTGGACTTTGTCAAACAGCCCGCCGCTAATTAGACTTGACTTCAGAAAGGATCTTTTCCGCCTTCTTGGCGCCCTCTGTGAGCCAAAAGCAATTGTCCCTCTTTTTACCTCTTTGTTTTTCCTGATAGTCGAAAATCTTAATTATCTACTTTGAAAATGTCTCCACTTTATTAACGTGGGTGTCCAATTCTTAACAGGTCAGGATCTGTATATCGTTCCACCGGTCCTCCCCTCAACCCAAAGACACTTTTTCTCTGATTAAAAATTTCATTTCTATTGTTCTAAACCAAATTGATAAGGAGTCTCTCCATAAAAAAGTCGGTCAGATGCTTTGACGATATCTGGTCTACATCAGCGGCCCGTTTTGATATCATGTCTTTCCCTTTCTTTCTTTTTTATTATTTCTAATTCTACTCTTCCAATTGTCTTTCGAAAATCGGCCAAGACGCTGACCTAAATCTCTTTCTGACTCCTATCTCCACCCTCAATTGGGTCATGCATCATACAACTCTTTTTCTCTCTTCTTCTTTCTTTTCTTTTTTTCTTTTCTTTCCTTCTTCTTCCCTTAAGATCGTCTAGTACAATCTTAGTGAATTATTTTCAACTCAGTTATTTTCCGTTTTAAAAAAAAAATCAACAACCTGTTTAGTAACCGAGTAAGAAAAAATTAAATCATATTTCTATGAATATTTCTAATAATGCAAGGTGCCACACAGGGAATTCCAAACCGAAACCTTTGTTTAATCTCCAAGGGTAGACTGTTTTTGTTCCACTGCCCATATCTAGAGATATCTTATCTAACTCTTATTTTAGTACTGCTCACTTACTACTTGCCTTGTTTCCATTGAGTTCAAGTACACATTGCATGTCCCAGTCACTATGTCACTAAATTGACAAACCAATGCTTTAATCTACAAGGATATTGTCCCACTATACATAATCAGTCATGCAGGTGACTACTTTCTCTCCACCAAACCTACTCATAATTTTTATTTTTGGAGAAGCATTCAAATAAGGGACAATGCCAAAATAGAATGACAACTAAAATCTTAGTTCCCAGCTTATAGTCTAACGTAAAAAACTATAAAAAAAAGTTAGACACTACATCTGGAATCATTGTAATGTATACCCCCTCTCATACCAACCTTTTTTCAGTTGTTAAAGCCATCTTAGTTATTCCTCTTATTAAATTTTATTTTATTATTATTTTCTTTTGCCCACAAAAATATTAGCCATTTTAAATGATATGGAATAATTCTGCTGCACTATAGGGTTTGTTGTTCCATCAAAAAGAAGTGCAACATGAAATTGTGACTCATTTTGCAGTCTGGTATATGTACAATTAACTAGTACATGCTTCAAGGAACTGGAGCTTACATGGATGTGTATGTTTCTTAAAAAAATTCTGTGACAAAAAAAATCAATTTTTGATTCTCATTTCTAAATCACAAGTAATTGAAAACTTTTTAAAAGCCTGAATTCTTTACAATTTACTAATTCTGTTTTGAAGAAATTTTCTCCAAAAATGCATTTTTGTTCAAAATTTTGTTTAAAATCAATTTTTTCTTTTTTCAGTTTTGAACAGTTTTGTATCAATTACTGCAATGAAAAACTACAGCAACTTTTTATTGAATTGGTGCTGAAGCAAGAACAGGAAGAATATACCCGAGAAGGTATTGAATGGGTGCATGTAAGTAAAATATATATAAATATTGTTTTAGGTGTGGCAGAATCTATAACTAACAATACTTACTGGTGATGAGTTTTCCTTAAAATTAGTTCTAGATCTATATTTACAGGTTTTGATTCTGTTTTTATAATTCTCCCAAAACGTTCAGTTGTAGATACTTTTATAAACACACATCTTAAACAAAAATATATATTTTAAAACTCTTTTTGATGAATCATTGTCAATTATAAATTTATTTTAATTAGTATTTCTTTTATCTTATTTTCAGTTGCTTTTTATTACAAATTTCAAACTGTAAAACTGTATAGCTGTCAAAGAAATTGAAAACAAATAATCTTATCGATATTATCAGAGTATGTAAATAAAATGGATATCAACATATTAGGATGGATAAAGAATTTATTAACATGATTAGATTTGAATAACTGCAGTTGATGAGTTTCTTTGGAAATTTGAGTCTTGCGGGAGACATCCTTTATCCAAAGTTTCTATCAAAAACCATAGATTGTTTGAAAGTTCGCTGAAAAAGTAAATAAAATTAAGCTTAAAAAAGTAAGAGTTAAAAAATTCTAATTGGAAATAAACAAATAATGTTACTTGCATTTCGGCAAAAAAAATCAGCTGTACAAGGGAAATAATCGAATTATGATTTGGTTTCCACTTGGAAATTATATCCCTTGGTTTCCGATTTTTTTTTTTTGAATCATGATTTTCTTAAATATAAGTTTTTTTTAATTTGTTTATTTTTTCAGTTAATGTTCCAAATTACAATTTTTAGCCATCTTTCTTTCAGTGTGATGATTAAATGAAATTTATAATAAAATTTTTGGTCCTGTGACATGTAGCATTCCTATCAGGTCCACGTTTTTGGCCTTGCCATGTGGTTGGGCTTGTTGCATGTACAACACCTTATTTCTGTACTTCTTCCCAATCCAGCTATATCATACATGTCATGTCATACCAGCATTGTCAGTTAAGCTTCAGAAGGTTCATTCTTTAGTATTGTTCTGACTGTAATGCCCATTGAGAAAGGGCTTCAACAACCTGTTTCACATGATCTGGTAACTTAGTGAAAAAAGTACATGTTCAGACATGCCACTGAATGGAACAGAGAATTTCCACTGCTTCACTAGATAAACATCAACAGACATCAACAGACTCCCCTAGGTACAAACATCATGTCACAAAGGAAGCTGTGGGAAAGGCCGTATCTGATGTATCCTTTATGCAAATGATATCTCTTTGCCTTGTCACTCAACTGCTGGTAAACTGCAAATACACCACATGCCAAGTACAGAGGAAGCATGCATTAAATCCTTTTTATCTTGCATAAACCACATACCAATTCTGTCTTCTCAACCCATTTAGCAATGTAATAGTTGGCATCTGTACCCTCAAAAATTGGTATGCATTTCATTTAAGACTTGTCCACCATAAGAGACAAAGGTACCAAAATAGTTTGTTAGTAATGACTATCAGACTACATTAAAGTGGTCTACCAATGCAAACCACTGTCTTTGTAATTTCAACTGTCAACCAATACAAATCTAACCACTGTTTACCATGATACAAATCTTTATGAATCAACAACAGTCAAGTACTTTTTGCAAGCCAGCTTGTAACTCTATGGAGATCAGAGGTTTCCTCTTCATGGACTCAATTTGTTTTTGTATAGTGTGAAGTCATTTGCAAATTATGCCTCAGTTAGATCTTTCTGCCTATTTCTAAGACCCATTCCAATACACACAGGCTAATTTTTGTTTCTTTGCTACAAATTATCTAAAGTAAATTTTTTATGCAAGTGAGGATTATATATTCATATTATAATAATACACTTTATATTTGTGCACACACCTCCAGAGAAATATGTTTATCAAAACTAAATACACACACACACACACACTATATGAATGCCTAAGTTGGCCTGTTTGTATCTGTCCATCAAAGTCTGTTCAGATTTATTTGTTTGTTTGTCTATTCACCCATCTCAATCCATTTATCTCTGTCTATAAAGTTATCATTTTATTCAATTCTTATTCATTTGTCAGTTCACTTTATAACTGAATTTACATTTTTTTTCTTTTTTGTCAGGTTGATTATTTTAACAATAAAGTCATCTGTGATCTTGTTGAGCAGCCACACAAAGGAATCTTGGCCATGTTAGATGAAGCCTGCCTAACACCTGGCAAAATGACAGATGAAGTAAGAGTGTTTTTAAATTTCTATTTATTCTTACCTGGTCAGTAATCATTGTTTTATCAAAGATACTCTTCAGAAAATTATAATTTTTTCTATCTGATGCAAAAAAGACTAAATTGAACAAAGAATAACTTGATATTCACTTTTGGATGTCAGTTTTCCATTTGAATTTAAAAAACATTTTTAATTTTCTTTAAATGCAAAATAAAGATTTTCAAGTGGAAAATATAATTTTAGGGGTTATCATATTGTATGCATTCAAAACTTACTGATGATACTGAGACTAATGGTTCTATACCAGGGGCGGGTGGTGGTGGTGGTGGTAAATTGTCTACATTCTTGAAGATAGGGCATATGCTTGCCACCCTTCATATTCTTGGGAAAGATTTCTTCAAGTAGTGATTAAATAATTTTGCTAGAATTGGGGATAATTCTGTGTTGATATTCAACAACCACTGGAATTTTGTCTGGGCCAGTGGCTTTTTGGGGTTCAGACTTCTCTTGCTGAAATGAGTATATTACTGAGATTGTGCTCAGTGAGATGTGGGAAGTTGGGGAAGGGATGGCCTTTATTATCTAACATTAAGTTTGAGGTAAAGATCGAGGTGAAGAGCTTCACCTTGTCTGATGTCTCAGGGCCATTTATAATAGTGGGTACAGCTGCTTTGCCTCTGGTTGGTGATTTTCCAGAATTCACAAAATCCAATTTATTTTCAACCTTGGCCTGGACAGATCATGCGTAGCTGCATTTTGTGTTTTCTAGGACTCTCTTACAGTGATTGCAGGTGGTTCTGAAAGGGCCAGACTACAGCGCTCTTTGTGATAGATTTTGAAGTAGTAGTTCTGGTGAGCTCTGGCTGCAGTGCATTCAGGGGTGAACCAGGGCTGACTGTTTGGTTTTTGCTGGAATATTTTGAGGGGTTATAAAACATTTCATTCCAGAAATGATCCATTTGGAGATTAGGACAGCAGTTTTGGGGGCAACATGTTTGAAGAAGGTTGGGAGGGGAGCTTCCATTATACCGATATAATGGAAGCTCCTCTCCCAACCTGAAAATTGTCCCAGTCTGCCTCTACATAGTGAAAAAAACATTCTATGGAATGGTAAATCAGGAGATGTCATTGGTTTGGAATCAATCTGCATACTGACTTGGGAATGATCTGCTGTGGGGGGCTGAAACCTTTGCTGAACATTTGTCTGGGCAGGGACTCTGGTGGGTTCTTCAATGATCTGGGTTAGTTTATATGAGATGGAGAAGTCTCTGCAATATCTGCCTTCCACATCGGTTTCATTAGAGTGGACTAACCACTCTTTGTTGTGAACATTGAAGTCACCACATATGTGAAAGTTAGCTGAGAGAAATTTGGTGAGGATAATGTCAATCCCCCTGATATTTGATCGAAGATTACTGACACTTCATCTTGAAGGGCAAAGACGAATGTGTTAATAGGGATAAGTGTCACATGGAAACACATATATGGGAGATAAGGGTCCTCATTTTTTGTGTTCCTGCCACAGCGAAACCCATTCTTGCACTGAGCCTGTGACTGTGGTGATTTAGGTGGTTGCATTTTGTTATGATAGGTGAGTAGCCTGGGATTGTGAACATCTTCAATGGATTGATACCTGTCTCAGATAGGGGCGGGAGGTCAGGAATAGACTGAAGAAGGTGAAGTTCACTTCTGGAAAGTTGAAATGTAGATGTCTTACATTGGTGTAAGAGATGGTATACCTGAAGTCTTTTTTTTTTTTTTTTTTTTACATATTAGGGATTGCTGAGGTCCTAAATTATTGGTAATAATTGGTATTAGATGTTTGAAACTGTGTTAAGCAAATTATAAATGTAAAGTTTTTATTGGAATTATTAAGTGTTATTTATTGGTGAATTATATTTTTAATGACTTTTTCTAATTGTTCCATATATACACACAAATTTCAAATTGAAATGTAGCATCCCTAAAAATGCCAGGATGTATCTCCCCCCCTCTCCCCCCCTCTCTCTCTGTATATATATATATATATATATATATATATATATTTGTGTACTTAGGCAGTGATCCTTTCATGCACATTTCATTGAATACAACAGACAAGGTGCTTTGATTTAGTTTTTTATACAATTTCTCATTTGTTCTCAATAATATCAACTATGAACATGGCCACAGTATCTTGACCGTGTTTTGAAAATGAAAACATTATATAAATACATACATGCAACAAACTATTTCTTATTTAACAGTTAAAATATTTCAACCTTGAAAATGCTTAAATGTATAGCTGGATAAAAAGAACATTTGGACAGTTTTTATATAATTTATCATTTGAAAAGAAAAAAAATTATTAGAACATGTGAGAAATTGTATAAAAAAACTAAATCAAAGCACCTTGTTTGTCGTATTCAATGAAAAAAAAATACACACACACACACACACACACACACACACACACACACACACACAGAGGGTGTGATTATTAACTTGTCACCATTTTATATTTTTAATTTTGCACATGCACATTGTTTGTTTTTGATTTTGTTGACTGCAGATAGTTGGGCAGCATTTGTTAGAAAAAGAGCACCATGACACAATTCACTCCACCAGAAATTTGGAAATGGCCATGGTGTACTGCTTGGCATTCATGCTGGAAGGTACAATGCAAACATTTCAGAGTTTTTGGGTGTCAATCTGGGGACAGTGCAGATGATTCGTTGGATGAGTCTAATAGTGATTATGAAAGTACAGCAACTGAGAAAACTCATTCTGATTGTTCTTTATGCATATTGTCCTTTTACAGATATACTCTGTCTGAAATTTTTACACACGCACACACCCACACACATATATATATATATATATATATATATATATATATGAAGAGAGAAAGAGACATGCATATACACAGAGCAAATTAGATGTTCCCCTGTTGTAGTTTAGTGTAAAATGCATTTGAACCTGGTATGTGTAAGCAATGTTTTGCTTTTTCTTTTCTCTGATTATGACTCTATCCTTCTCTAATTTAATTTCTGCAATAATAAATATTTGTAGATAAAAAAATCTATTAAACACTGAATTTTGTCTTTTTTATCTAAAAATTTGTTTTAACAAATGTTGGAATTTTATTTTATTTGGGAATCCAGATAGAAAGGAATTGTCAGTAGTCAGGAATGAAATCCGGCTTTACTGACAGGATAACATGATTCTATATATACTGTGTCCAGATAGTGAGTAATGAACTTTGAAGAAATTTAAATCTTTGTTATAAGATGCCGTCAAATCTTATTCTTGTAAATGGATGTCTTTATAAGCCATTATTCTTGTATTGACCTGTTTTCTTTTGCAGAAATTTCTTGAGGAAATGTCCCATACTCTGAAGAAGCATGAACGTTACTCATCTCGGGCTGTAAGTAATCTAGATTAAATATCTCAACAAATTTTGGTGTGTACAATAAAAATGTTATTTGGAAAGTGAGTTTAAAATATACAAATTTAGAAACATACACTGAAATCAAAGTTCAATAATAAACAATGGAATTTAGATCTATTTGAAAATCAATTTTACCTGGTTTTACGTTGTTTCTAGATTATGGCAAAGTTTGACATTAAGAAAGACTTTAATGTAGTGGTTCCCAAATAGTGGAAGAGAATAGCAGGTGAGGTGGAATGGTTGAAAGACAAAGTTTTAGAAACAATTTCAAAAAATTCATATGCCAAAAATAAATATGATTTTGAAATTTAAAATATTATTATGGATTACTTGCAATTGTATGTATGAGTCCCAGTATAAATAGTTATAAATAATTATTAACCAATTTTATCATTTTTGCATTATATCAAATATTAAGAATATAATAACTAATGTTCACAAATTGGAGGAGAGAATTATCAATGATAATGTTCTGAATTTGAATCTGTGGTTATCTCCTTTTAACCCTCTGTCTGTTGTTTTTTTTTTATTTTTAAATGTACTTTTTATCATATAAAATGTGGTGGGGTGCAAGCAAATTTTTATTTCAAAAATGTGACCCAGAGAAAAAGTTTGGACACTACTACTTTAATGAGTGTCATGTTTCTCCTTGAAATCTTTATAAAGTCAGTAATATAATGCTTTGTTTTTATTACCGTGTTTTGACTGTTGCGCTCTCCATCCTTCATCAGGTGATTGTCAATTTGAGTAAACTTAAGGAGTAATCATTATTTACTTGAAGGGGATAAATCCTTCTTGCTCTCCTTGTTCTCAGTTATTGCTCATCACATTTTCACTGTGTACACTCTGCCTAACTCGGGGATTGAACTTGCAATTACTATGCCACCAATTTTACAAACTAAATCCTTAATCCACTAGGACAGTTCTGAGTAAAGAACTTGGAGCCTTAAACCTAGCCTGCCTGCTGATGAGTGCTGCTACTGCTAGTCACACTTGACTGCACTCATTTACTGCAGCTGCTGCCACCACTTCTCTTGGTCCAATGAAATGAGTATTATCCATTGTGAATTCCTCAATTCTAGAGAAACTAATCATTGCAAGTTTTTATTGTTTATAATTCAGTAGAAATAACAATGGTGCATTATGTCAGTTATGTACAGATTCAGTGAATAAAAAAACAAACAAACAAACCTGATTTACTTGTAGTTTAACAATAAAAAAGCCTTATACAGAAAAAAATGACAATGGCATAGATTAATATTGGGAATATTTTATTTATATTCTTTGCACTGACCAGAATTAGTGTCTTTGGTTTGCCATTTGTTAAACTCAAATTTTCTTTGTACCAAGACATTCAGAAATAAGGATGATGCCAATTCTGGTTTCTCAGATTTCTTTATCAAAGCCCCAAAATTTTATTGGTGGGAGATGAAAATTACTTTGCATCATTTTTATTATCTTCTTGAAAATGCAATTTTTTCTAAATGTGAGGTTTTTTTTTATATTTTACTATTCTAATTCCAGTTGGTTCCTACAGACAAAACAATGGAACATGGACAAGATTTTCGTATTCGTCACTATGCAGGTGATGTAACTTACAATGTTAATGGGTTCTTAGACAAAAACAAGGACACATTATACCAAGATTTAAAACGGCTTTTATACAACAGGTAAGGTTAAACAGCAAAAATGTAATGAAAAATTAATTCATCTTTTTAATATATTTTTAATGAAGTATTCTTGCCTTGTTATTATATGTTGGGGTTGTGTTGATTTAAACATGTATGAAAAATTGTGTTTTGTAATTTCTTATCTGGTAAACTTACTTTAACTTGTATGTATGTCTCACACACACGCACATATATATATATATATATATATATATATATATATATATATATAAAATGGATAAATTGTTGTCTAAATTGCACAAAAATGAAAATAACACTGACATCTCATTTTAACAGATATATTTACCAAAATTACTCAAAAGTATTTTGGAAGAAGTAAATTTATTCAATAAAATAATCATTTGCTTCAACCACAGCTTCCAGTTGACTTTGGAATCTCCTGCAACTCTTCTGCATGGTTTCCTTGCTTAAGTTGATGAATGCTGTCATTATCCTTGCCTTCAGTTCATCTTTGGTGTTACAAGCAGTTTTGTTGATCTCTTGCTCAACTGTACCCCACACATAAGGGGGTTGCAGTCTGGCCAGATGTCAGGAGTGATGTGGTTGCAGAAACTGTATGATAGCCATGACTGGATACTTCTGCTTGTGTGGCATGGTGCAGAGTTCTGTTATCAGACATAGGTTATTTCAGCAGCAACCCTCATGACCCAGGGTAGCACTACCTCCTCAAGACTGTCGTGTTGAGTCTGAGGCTCTCATCAGCAAATTCGGGAGTTCTTTTCTTATCAGAATGATCAGAGTGAGTTTTCTGAGCTGCCGCACCATTAGACTCCTCCAACTCTTTCTAAATCCTCTGTACTGTCTTCAGATTGACACCTAAATATTCTGAAATGTTTGCATTGGAGCTTCTGCTGTTTCTAAATTTCTGGTGGAGTGAATTGCGTCATGGTGCTCTTTTTCTCACAGACACTACCCAACTGACCCTACTATACTGTGCAGTCAACAGTATCAAAAACAAGGTGAATGTATGAAATTAAAAATATAAGATGGTGACAATGTACCCATTTCACCATGTTGTGTGTGTGTGTGTGATATTTATATTATACACACACACATTCTGTCATACTCCCCACATCTCAAAGAGATGGTTCTTTTGATCCCCAAATCAATCATACAATCAAAAAAGCCAGCAAATCCTTTGGTAAATTGGAAAAAAAGAGACAGACATCTCACTTGATACTAAGACCAGTGTCTACCAATTGTATATCTTGAGTGCTCTCCTGCATATTTCAGAGACAAGGACTATATATTACCATTGTATTAAAACCTTGGAAAGATTTCATATGAAGTGCCTTATTCTTAAACATCAAGTTGGCAGTCTTGTTATGATGGACCTTGTATGAGTTCTGTTTTTGTGGTTAGTAAAATATACAGATATACATCATAGCAACAAATTGAGATATTTATACATAAATATAGAAGGATTTATTATTGGAAGGTTTGGTTGTTTCGGAAGATAAAAGTTCTCATCATGTGGTTGCTAAATGTTCTGATATTTGGATTGTCTGAATGAGTGAATTATTTTGTTGTGATAAATCTATTATTAAAAGGTCATGTTCAATATGAGGAAGTAATATTTGAGTAAAACTTAGCTTTAGTCTTCTTTCCCAGAGAGGTTTATTTTTACATGCTCTTGTGATGAGAGGTTGTTGAAAAGACACCAGATTCTAAATTTTTTGCTAGTAGGGTGTTTTCCTTTTTTACTAAGGAATCATAGGAAATTATTTTTTTTTTATTATTATTTCTTGTTATCGTGAAATCACAACAGTCTTTCACACTAGAGAAATTTGTTCTGCAATGGCCTAAAACACACAGCATATGATTCATCACTAAAGATAGAGGAAATATGGTCGGCTCCCACTACTGCTCCAGTAAGTACCTGAATCCTCATGCTATCCTCTACCCTTACAAGAGCTCGATCAGGCTGAGAATGGAGTACTGTTGTGGTATTTGGCTGGGAGTTGCCTATACTTCACTTTCCAGTCTTGATAGAGATCAAAAGTTTCTCCAAGTCCTTGTGGGTGACAAATTAATTTCCACTCTCTAACCTCTCTCTTACAGGTGGGATGGTGCAAACTCTATCACTGCTTTTATGGAAAGTGCTTGGATAAACTACTTTCCTTGGTTCTGCTAGTTTAGAGGAAACAGAACAATAGATTCCTAAATTTTAAATGTCAAAAGTTTGGGCATTACATAGATGAATTTGTCAAGCAAATCAGTTTGCAAAAGATGGTGGTGGGGACCCAAACATGTGATGACCAAAACCCTCAACATTAAAATCATAACAAACCAAAAATTACACACAATAACAAAAATCTTCACCTAATTATCAAAACTTAATAAGTATACTCTTCAAAGAGAACTGAACATATCCATCAAACACTATATCCACAATGATTATAAACCCATTTATAGCCACAAAAAGTTAAACTAGTAGGTAAAAAAAATAAACATTCCTTAAATAGACAATGTTTCTTTTAAAAGCAATGGTATCTACAATAAAACCAATTCTTCAATAATAGAGAATAGCCCAATGAATGAAAAAACTTATAAAAACAGTCTAAAAATGTTAATTTATCATTTCTCACTGCTTCAAAAATAGGCAATCTTGAAAAGAATATTGTAGAATAGGAACAAATTTATTGATTGAAGATTATTATTATTATTGCACTTGTTAAAATCTTTTTGGTCTCTTCATTGTTGGTTTCAGTTTTGAGCCTATAGGTAAGTAAACCTTTGTCCCTGTTCACTTATGTATTTGTAAAATCTGCCATACTAAAGTGATAACTTTTGTTGATTTCTCCAAAACCAGAAATTTTATAAAAGTAAATGATGAAAATAATTGTGAAAAGTATACTTGAAGAATAATGTTTTTTTAACACACATTTCCTGTTTGTTAATTATAGATTAATTCCTGACAAATGTTTTCCATATTTACTTTGTTTTTTTTTTTTTTTTTTGGGTCAACTCTCAGCTAAAAAATATTTTCTTTGAGTCAAAGTAAAACATAGAACAACTATTCCATCTGCCCTTTTATCAAATTAGAGTTGTTAGTGTTTCTGCTAATTGAGTAATTTTCTCTAGAAATTAACAAATTCAATTAATACTTGTTTAATTGGTGCCAATTTACTGTTAATAGATGACACTTTTTTATTTCATTGACCCATTTTACCTGTGAAAATGATTGTCATAGTTACAGTGTAAGAGAATTAAATACATTTTTTATCCTTTTTAAAAAATGTTCATGGTGTATTATTTATGGATTGAAATATACTTTTCTATACTATGATCATTTAGAATATAATCTTTATTGAAAATCTTCTGCAATATATAAATTGTACAAAAATATTGTATATTTTAGTTATAAATCATAAGCTATACATTTTTATCATTTGAAATGTTTCTATAATAAAATCACTTGCTGTGCATCTATTGTAAAATGATTTTCAAATTCAGTTCTTGTAATCGGTTTTATAGTTATTTGAAAATATGAAACTTATTTTCATTGAGATTGAATTTCTTTAACAAATGTTACACAGTGTATTTCTGTAATTATTTGTAATGCATTCAAGTGATGCAATAAATTAAATAAAACAGAGTTTATGTAAAAAACACTGACAATCAAAATAAATCCATTTCTCATGTAGCAGGGAGCATTGGATTTGACCAGTAACCTACTCCTTCATTTGTGATTATTCATCTAAGAAGACTTTGATCTGAGTCAAATTGTCTCTTCACCTCATTTGTATATGTTTCTAAAGTGTCCAGGGATTTTTTTCTCCCTTGTCTTCACCAGGGCTGGTTGATACAAGGTCTCCTGGATAACAATCTCTTTCATTATTTAATAATAACCAAAACATGCGTCTTGCTTGTCCTTTATTGTTAAATTTTTTTTATATTTCTTTTTTTTGTTCATGATTGATGAAAAGGTTTCTTGATGGAGTATTAATGGCCTGGTCTCTTTCCTTGATTTTCTACACAAGTACTCACCTTTTATAATGAGTACTCATCACTCAACTATTATAATAACATCATTGGGTACTAATCAGCCAGAGATAAAACATGACAGACATGCAAAGTAAAACTGTCAAGCTGAGTGAATGAATATTTTTCTTTTTCTCTTCAGTGATGATGAGTTACTCAAGATTATGTGGCCAGAAGGATCTCAGGATATTGCAAAGGTAAATTTACATCCACTCTTAAATCAGAACTTAATAAACTATTGCAATGACAATGTTGCTCAGTGAGTCAGTTAATTACTTAATTTTGATGCATATATATATATATATATATATATATATATATATATAGTCACACATTTTCTGTGAAAATTTCTCGGACATTCAGGCCAGTAAATGTTGTTTAATACTGTTTATTTTAAACAGAGCATTTACTTAAATATTTGTATCTATAAAAAGAATGTATAAACATAAAAATGTCTTGAAATATATATTTGCAATCCATACTGCCCATTAAATATTTGAGATATGTATACTTAACCAGCACAGTAAAAATTAATTCAAACAAGTTTTATTAAATTTGACTAACAAGGTCTATTTAATTTTATACAAGATTTTTCCAGTATAACACATCTGGTCTAATCATTATAAATAAAAAAGGGACCATAAAAAAAAATCCTTATGAAAAAAAGAAAAAAACAAGGTTTATGAATTGTTTATTTATTGAATCCCCAACATTAATGTTGACAATGAAAAAATGTTCTTATATTGGTTATACAACCACTACACTTTCTTGTTGGTTAACTTGTCACTTACTGAAACTTAGTACAATCTGAGCACATATTGAACATCAAATTGCAAACAACAAAAATATGACTATTAACACAAGACAAATATTAGTAGATAATATTAAAACACTATACAACATCCATTGTAAAGAAAGACTCAAAATAAAGTTCTCATTATACAAGATTATAGATACCAATATGAAGTTAATAAAAAACTTTTCTCTGTGGCCTGATATCGACTAAAGATGATCTAAAGTAGTCAAACAAATTTGTGAACAGTTTCTTCAAGAAATCTGATTCAGATGTACAACTTATATATAAAATGAAAAAAATGTAATAAACCCACATGAAATGCAACACCTTTTACCATGGAAAACAGCATTTTTAAATGTGTTCATAAAAAAAAAAATACCTTTTTCCTTAGGTGCTCCTTTTAACAAATTAATATTTAAAAAAATGTCTGATGTATGTTGTCACTTTTATATGATACATATGTAAATTAGAAATGAAGCATTCATAAAAATGCCAGGATGAAACTAATATATGCTTTTCTTTATGGTTCATTATGTACATTTACAATAACAATGACTAGAGATCAACCATCTTTAGTCATAAAATACTTAAACAAAAGCATAATGGAGTTTCAACATGTTCTCTACTAATTTCATCCAGATGTGCAACAATGCGAAATAGCAGACACAGGTTATAAATTCATGACTATGATGTTTTACCATGCAAGGAGAGAATGAAATATTAACAACAGAACCATATGTCTAGAAGCAATGTAATCTAATGGTTCTGTTGTTAATATTTTGTTCTCTCCTTGCATGGTACAATGTCATAGAACCATACAGAACTGCTATTCCATGACCGTTATTGTCGCATAACAATCTTCTGTCAACATAACAAAATGTGATGGTGAATATCTTTGTTTAATTGTCCGTATAACCACTCTGAAAATGGCTCATGTGAGCCAAAAGATTAGATCAAGGAATGGCATAATTAAAAGACTATCCAAATGTTAGACAATTTTTGTCTTTATTTTGTCCCAAAATTAAAGCAATTCTACGAAGTTAAGAACAGCTCATGATCAAACATAATTAACATTCATTGTTTATTATATTTAACAATATCTTTGAATAATGGTCTGCTGCTCCAATACACTAAATTCAAATATATATATATATATATATATATATATATATATATATATAAAGAAAAATATAGTTTTAAGGTATTCTATCTATCTATATATCTATCTATCTATATATCTATCTATCTATATATCTATCTATCTATATATCTATCTATCTATATATCTATCTATCTATCTATCTATCTATCTATCTATATATATATATATATATATATATATATATATATATGGGTTAAATTACTCAATATCAAGGATACAGCATATGTAAATATAAAGGTGGACATTGAGGTCAAGATCAAGCAGTTATAGTCTGTTTGATGCTTAAGTGCAATCATCAGGCCATGTGCATATGTATTTTAGTTACTTTTTTTTGTTTAGTGACATATCAACACTTCTATGGGTTGTTTAATACTGAAATCTAAATATTTTGTATGCAATTTTTTTTAATTTTTTAAATTTATTTTTTGTGTTAATAATGGTTTTTACATTTTTGAGGAAGATAATGGTTTTATATAAATTCTGTTCTTGATATCACATATGCTCTATCCCTGATATTTTGCATTTTAACCCCTGAATATAGTATACATTAAAACTATATTTTTATCATATTTAGCTCCTGATAATCAGTAGAACACATTCACTACATTTAAAAACTATCATATATATATATATATATATATATATATATATATATACACACACACACACTGTATCAATTGATTTTTTTGTAATATCTTTTTGCTGTCCTAAATTTATCTCTCTTGTACTTGTGATGCCAGGTGGCAGTGTCTTAAAGACAAAGGTAAACTTTTCAAAGATGTAAGGAAATAAAAATACTGACTCTGGAAAAGAATGTATTAAGATACAATAATATAAATATATTTAAAATCTCACCTGTGAAAAGGCTTACACCAGGTTGAAACACTGTACCCCGTACAATCACTGAATTTAATCAATGTTGAGCCTGGTCAGTATCTAGAGGGGTGGCTACTTTGGAATAACAAGTGCTGTAAGCTTGGATGTGTGGGAGATGTGATTGATAATGTCTAGGAATTATTAATCAGAGAGATGAGAGTTCCAATTCTTGTTTAGTTTGTTATATTCACTTACATGCAAAAAGCTTTGGGAAAGATATGAATCCATCTCTTATCCCCCCAGCTTTGAGTTAATTATTAAGACATGTATCAATAAACTGTTCTCAAAAAAAAAAAAAATACGTACAAAATATTTAAATTTTGGCATTAAATAACACATTTTGATATGCCATTAAACAACCAAAGAAAATCACATGTGGAAGCGTAAATACAAGTTAAAACGTCCAATATGCTAGTCAGTATATAAGAAGGTAATTTTTGAGATAGCAAATCAAATGCTTCAAAACATAGATGGATATTTATATTCACCATCACTATCTCTCATCCAACAGCAAGGACTCTGATTGAGAGATTGGAGATATTAAGGAGCATAGTATCACCTCTTAATTGCTGTTGTTCCCAGGTCCAGCCTGACTCAGGGTAGTAGCACTTGTTAGGGTCCCAGCTATGGGCAAATAGTGAGCCCCAAACAAAAACAAAACATGAAAGTATAAAAATACATTTTTATGTAAAGAAAATAAAAACAATACCTATTTATAGTAAAATTACCAACATTACTTATTTATAATATATATTTAGTTGAAGCCATAAAATTGTGTTCAAAATATTTAGATTTAGACATTAAATAATTCATAGAGGTTGATATTCTGCTAAACAAAAGCAACCAACATGAAAGAAGTCTTTCATCACATTAGTCATATAGTATCTTACAATTTCTGAAAGAAATTCCAAAATATAACTTTCACAAAACTACAACATAAAACACACATCACTACCAGTAGTAATTCTGTCCATACAAACATGTATATGCACAAAAGCTGAGTATCATCTACCATGTATTCAATTGTGAAAGCAGAATAACATATATCATATGTTTATTACTTTAAAGCTCCCAAGAAAATTAAATCTTTATGGGTCATTTAAGACCCATAAAGATTTGCTATGCCATTAAACAAATGAATCAAATCTCTCTATCTCTCATCATGTTCTATCAGGCAGTAACCAATTATGGAATTTTTTATAGACAACTTGTCTATAAGCAATTGTACTCAAACTTGAATAAATTTTAAGTGACTTTCATATGGTCATCAGTGTGACTTAAGCAACTCAAAAATGGAGAAGAAAAAAGAAAACTATAAGATTAAACAAAAAGATTAATTTATACTGTATTTAAGAATTCTACCAATTCTACTAATTTAGTTATGTTAAAATATTCTTTTCTATTTACACAATTATTTATGTAACTTTAGTACTAATTCTTATGCAAAAATTAAACAACCCAAGTACTGATTAAAATGCTAAGTAGCTTATAAAAAAATTTGTGTAAATGTTAATTACAAATTTATATTTTTCTCTTACCAATTCTGACCCCCTCACCAAATTTTTGGCTATTGTCATTTTTACTAACATTGTTATTTACTTAAAATTATTCATTTTTTTTGTATCTTCAGACTACAAAGAGGCCCTTAACTGCTGGAACTAATTTCAAGAATTCTATAATAGCATTGGTGGCTAACCTGGCATCAAAGGTAAGGTGAATTCTTTTTTCCAGCTGAATATTTGACACTATGTTCTGATCTTAAATACAAACTTTCAAATTTTACTCTTTTGCTTGAAAAGTGCTTGTTGGTAAGCAAAAAATGAAAACAAAACAATCATTTAATAACTTGAAGTTTTTCAATAAGGTTTATATATATATATATATATATATATATATATATATTCTGTGTACATATACAAATATATATGATGCACTCTTCCATTGATCTTGGAACAGTTTAGTCTAAAATTCAATTGCCAAACTGCTCACACAAATGGTTTTATTATTGTAGTGAAGGCTTCTGAAGAACCAGCCACACATTCTTGAAGAACCAATAATAGAGAAATTGTGCATCGTGTGTCATGAAATATATGAACACTCTTCCTCATATTTCATTCTCAATGAGTTTAATCTCTCTGGAATAATATCAAAGTCTTCAGACATGGTTGGAATTGAATTTTCCTTCTTGAATGGTTACCACTTAAAACATGAGAAGCCAAATGTGTGTTTGTGTGTGTTGATGTTTATTTATATATATATATATATATACTTTTCCTTCCACCACTACTCATATGCAGTAGTTGTCAATGATTTCACATCTTCTCCTTATCCAGAAATCAAAGAATCCATAAATGAGTAAAGTGTAGTTTAAGATAGAACAGATCCCCCACAAAAAATCCTTTTTCTTTTACACTTATTTATAATTAACTAATCCTAAGTATTCCTTCTCATAGTTGTTTGTCTATTTATACCAGTGGTTCTCAACTGGAGTCCATATCAACCTTGGGAGTCTATGTAATATTACTGGGATCTACACAAAAAAATAGCAAATTGGTAGTCCATGGTAATATTTAATGGTTCATAGAGCAATTTCACTTCAGAACAGTTGTTACAACTGAAAATTGGAATTTCTACACCATATTAAAATACTAAAAATAGAAAAACAATTCTAAAACTAGCAGAAAAACACAGTATCTGTCTATATTTCTAAGATGTGGTATTATGTACATTATTTACATTTGTTTTAAAAATATGGCGACAAAGATGAGGACAATAGTCCGAATAATGTAAATAATGCAGAAAAACACAATCAAACAAGGTAAGTTATCATCTCTTTTACTCTACAGGATGTTTTGATTGTAAAAGTTGAATAAAAATTAAGGATATATAGTGTACATAAATGTTCCATAGAATTTAATTGTTAAATACAATTTTATTTTCATTAAATTACTTTTATTTCAAAATTAATCATATACATTTACTATTTCTGTAATACAATTCCTAAACTTACCTATCAGTAAGAAATAAAAGAACCTTTTTTCTTTTTTTTACTCAAATGGTAATGGGTGGGGTCTCAAAAAAAGAGTAAAAATGATCTATGGATAAAAAAAAAGGTTGGTTGAGGACCATTGATTTAGATGGACATTGCATTCTATCTCTTCATAAGACTATAGTATTTTCTCTGTTATTTTTCACCCATTTTCACAAGCCTCCTACTCATCTGACAGTCCTATAAATATGTCAAATGAGATATTATTGACTAGGAATGAATGAATGTCACTTTTTCTTTCCACATTAATGAAATGCATAATTGTGTATTTGGAGGCTTTATCCATACCACTTTCCCAATCTGGATGGTATGTATGTCCTTCACCCTGTCCTAATTCATTAGCACCTCACCTCATATGGCCATTTGCAAAAAATAGATGGTTCAGTACCTCAGAAAGTCTCTGCTCTAATCTCTCTTCAAAAAGGTTACTCTTCTGCTTTCACAATCAATCAATGATGCGTACAATCTCTTCCAATAATGTTACATCACCAACCAACTGTTTCTAATTGTCATTTACCTGAATTTATTCTTTCTCATGGATGTTCAGCATGAGGTCAGTTGAAACTTTTGATCACCTACCATTTTCATTAGATTGGAATCACATACAATGATCTCCAACCAACCATTAATAAGATTATTAAAGAAAAATGGCAGCAGTTATGGAATAACTGCCATAATAATAAACTACACAATATTCAGCCAATCATAAGTGAATGTTTCTCTGGTTATCGAAAGATAAGAGAGGAGGTGGTTATTGCCAGACTCCATATTGTGTATACACATGCTACTCACAGACATTTATTGAGAAATGAAATCCCACCAATATGTTTACCATGTCAGGAGTTGTATATGATCAGGCAGATACCGTTGAAATGTTGCATCTTTCAGTAAAACTGAAACAAGTATTACAGAGTGAACAAACATAGACAATGTTTTGAAAACATTAAACCAGATAACATACTGCAATTTGTCAAAAAGATTGGACTTTACAAAAAATATATTAAAAATAAAATGTTTATAAGTGTTTGCACAAACAAAAAAACTTCAATCATTCTTGACAAAGAATAAAATGTGTTTTCAACCATACCAGTTGAACAATAAAACTCCTTCTTGGGAAAAATTTTCCTTCAACCATGCTTAAAAACTATGAAATTTTCCTTCAATCATATCTGAAGAACTATAAAATTTACTCTCATCCATACTTGACCAACTATAAAATATATTTACAAAACAATCAATTTGGCTGTAAATGACCCACAAGAGGTTGAGGAGCTATTAAGCACAACTAATCAAATATCAGGGTCAACTTTTTAGACCAGAAATAATCCTATTTATCATCAAATAATGTTTACTGTTCAATTTCCTCAGAACCTCATTCCCCAAACAGTAGATTATTACTACTCCCCTCTCTGAGTCCACTGGTACTCTGAGCCAGATTTTTCTCACTCTGGTTTGAACACCCACTTTTTACTTCCCTAAGAGCACAAAAATTATTTGCAGCTTCTAATTAAATTCAGTAATTAATTCTCCTTGGATTCCCAGATGTCACTTAATAATCATTTCCACTGATCCTTTTCTTTAAATCACTGATTTCTCCCATTGAAGCAGAGGAAGTGAATCCATTTTAGTTTTGTTATCACACAATTTTCCACCTTAAAGACAAACTGATGCCCAGTTCAGCTATATTAATAAGATGGCAGTAATATTGTTTTTTTTTGGGGGGTGGCATGTCACATTCTCCATCTTCATATTACTTATCTTTAAAACAGCACCTGTTACCATACTACTAGGATCATATATCATGTCATCCTTTTTTTCTGATTTCATCACATAGCATCTCCCCCCCTCTTACTGGCTTATCTTCTCTCATCCCCTACATAATCTCTCATTGTAGCAAATGTCATTTTCTCTATTTTATCTCCTGTTACTTTTACTTTTACACTCAAACTCTTTTCCAAAACTGATGCTGTTCATTCCATTTTCACTTTAATCAAAGTAGTCCTGCAACTCATATCAATTCTACTATTGGAAGTCTTTTTAGTTGCCTGAAGGGGTAGCTACTGGAATACCCAGAGCATTTCTCTGGCTACAATAGCAAATGCTTAGTTGTATATGACAACAAAATTTTTTTATGCACACCATAACGTTATGTCAACATTTGACTCCTAAAACACATTCAATTCCTTGAACATTTTTACTTTTCTTCCTCTTGAAGATTCTTTCGTATTCAAAGCTTGTCTTATTATACTAGGTCTCCTTGTGGCCACTGCTGTAAGGTCTTGGGTATTGTTTAGAGTTAATACCTGTTAACTCTGCCCATTTAATTATCCATTGACATGGTTTCAATGTCTGACAACTGCTGTAACTCTACCAAAACTTGATTAGAAAAACCAGATACAAATAGTTTAATCTTTTTAATTGATCTGCAGTAAATTAAACCAATCTAGTCAACATCTTGATCTCATGCAAATGTTTGTTATCTGGTCCATTTCACCCTCTCAAACTTGCTATCAGTCATAAATACCCCCACTTTTTTTTTTTGTAAAAGCTTGTATTGCTCTTTTCTCTGTCTGTCCTACATTTTACTAAGCAACTTTTTCCATTTCCAAATATATAGTGAGTGTATCTTTTTCTAGTTTCAATAATAGAAAGATTGCAGCTTTCTGTATTTTTGTAATTTTGACACTAATTTCATTTTCTTTAGTCATGTGACTTTGACCTTTGTTACTGAATGACTTCATTACCATTAATCCTGACAGCCACCATGTTAGCACTCATGCCAAAAGAACTTGTAGAGAAATAAAAAAAAGAAAGTGAATCTTACCTATAGGTGTGAGTAGGATTCATACAGAAGGTGTACAAAGACTAGAGGAAAAGAAGGAAAATAAATGAATAAACTGAGTTCTGATAACATGAAATTGTCCCTGAGTTCAAGAGAAAAAGGAAATGATTTCAGTGTTCAGAGCAAATACAGAATCCATTTTGTGCCAACTTTATTTTCACATGTATATTGGCAGTACAATGTATATATCAGACAAATGGTGGTTAAATGAATGACAAAATTGAAACCACTCCTGTTCCATATTTTGTCTCTTTAAAGGAATTCTAATTAATAATAATTTGATCAATGGATTCTTGTATATAATGACTGAGAGAAAAATACGACAAATATTGCTTACAATTTTATGTTTAGAAATGCTGAAGATCCAGGAATGCTTCATTTTAAATTTAAATTTAAATTTTTAATTGTTCACTTTATGATAATTACATATATGTAACTCTCTGCATTCAGATTTCTATTACTTTTGTTTTTAAATATCCCACATGGTAGTGGTAATAGTTTTGTTAGGAAAAATAAACCACTATTGCTATATATATATATATATATATATATATAGGCAGCCATCTCTCTTTTGTACAAGTTTTATTAAAGATGACTCACAGGGTACTGCAATTAAGCTTTTTATTCAGTTTTTCTTGTGTTCATATAAGTGATTTCTTTTCTGGACATAAAAAGTGTAAAATCTGTCCAATATATCTGCCTAAACATAGCTTGGGACATATTTAAACACACATGAAAACCTAACAAACACCATCCACAATATTCTCATACAAATATATGCATCCACATGTAAAAAAGAGGCTAAAACAAATAATGG